ATTATTATTATTATCATTAGTATTATTATTATTAGCCATATTATTATTAGTATTATTAGCATTACTATTACTATTATTATTATTGTTATTACTATTATTATTAATATTATTATTCGTCTTCTTCTTATTAGTATTATTAATAATCGTTGTATTATTCGTATCCGTATTATTATTACTAGTATCATTGTTATTCTTATCATTATTATTATTGGTAATAGTATTAGTATTATTCGTACTAGTATTATAGGTATTATTATTCTTCGTATTATTAGTAGTATTATTATTGTTGTTATTCGCATTCTCAATATTATTCTGATTATTCTTATTTTGCTTACGCGTATGCTTCTTATTCGTCTTATTCGTATTTTTATGTTTCTTCATTTTCTTCCTCCTCCTCCTCCTCTACTCCTCTCCTCCTCTTCTCCTCCTCCCCCTCTTCCTCCTCTACTCCTGCTCCTCTACCCCTCATCCTCTACTCGTCCTCCTCTACTCCTCTGCCTCCTCCTCTTCCTCCTCCTCCTCATCCCTTTCCTCCTCCTCCTCCTCCTCCTCCTCCTCCCCCTCCTCCCTCCTCCCTCCTCCTCCTCCTCCTCCTCCTCCTCCTCCTCCTCCTCCTCCTCCTCCTCATCCTCATCATCATCCCATAGCACCGATAACTCCTGTGGGGTCGCCGCCAGCACGAAGCCAGCGGACGCCGCTCGATCCATTGTCCGCTGCGCGGGACCGTGGCCCGCGCCGCGACCGCCTCACAAGGCCACGACGACCTCACCGAACTCGCCGAACTTGAGCATACATCAAGACAGCCAAACGACGATGATCATGAACCAACATACAATAGTTTGGAAATGCCGGGGCTGCTCCCACGAACTCCGTGAAGCCGCAGGACTTGTAGCACAAACGCTAGAAAGGGCAGCAGATGACCCCCCGACATGATAACGAGCCAAAAACAATACTCATACGTAATTGCAAAGCCTGCGCCACCATAAAACAATAGGCCCATTGCCATCGAGACACCTCTCAACACAGAAACACACAACGCACCTGCCGAGGCCACTCATGACGTATACCATAGACGGCCACCGCTGACAAACCAGAAGGCAGCATCATAACATAAGCTGCCTCCTAGGAACGGCACCACAACATACTCCAGCCCCCGAGAAAAGATGAAACGCCATGCCATAGGAAAGCAACCGCCCCATCCAACACATGGTTCGAGGTGCTACCCCCCGCAAGGGGTTACCCCGGGCATTCCAGCCCAACGTGGCGACACTTTGCATGGGGTGTTCCCCCTTAGGGGCCTTCCCCATGACCCTGCAATCACAATCACATCTGCGCCTCGACGTCTGCGGGCAAGTCCCGGGACCTGGCCTTGGCAAAACGTAATTATATGAACTTCGTCAGGTCCTTCCGCATTGCAGGATATCGTGCCGCGCCAAGACAATATTCTTTGAGTTTGAGCACCCTCTGCGTGACATCATTACTCGACCGCGCAAACCTCGTACATATACATGCAGACCGCCCCAGTGCAGCGCATGCCCCTGCCCCGAGAAAAACCTGCAAGCGGCCTGCTGCGGTGCTGCCGAGGAGTCAACCACCGCCACCTCAGGCAAGTCACCAGCATCTTTATCAGCACCCGCGACAGCCATCTGACATGCCTCGCTGCGCATGGGCGGCAACGTCAGATACTCGTCCGTGCCGAAGAACAGCTCCGTGCGTAGCCGCTGCAGCTGCGAGCGGACGCAATGCTTCCTTGCATCCCAGCAGGGATCATTGAACAGGGTACTCGTGCGTGCCAGAACTCGGCACGCCCTACATCTCCACTCCAGCATAACTTCAGACCACCAGATCTCATGCTCGTGCACGGTGACTTGTGGTTCGTACTCCCTTCTCGGCGGGCCAGGTCGCGCCTCCTTCTGCCGCGACCGCTGCTGGAAAAAAACTGTATAAGGTGAGTCCTAGAGACCTGGCCATGTTATCTTGAAAGAGCGCGCGCTTGAACCTCCCGCAAAATGCCGCGAGCGCCCGACTTCGCAAAATCGTATGACCATGCGTTGCCCGGAACCCGGTCGTGATCAACCTCGCGCGGTGCCGGATTTGCCGCTACTTCACCCAAGTCGAGATGCGAAGGGCGCCGAGCAAACTTTGGCGGCGCGCCAATCCTTACCTGGGCTTCTGCTGAACTGTCTCGCCACTGCCTGCACGTCGCGCCCCCGCCACAGCGTCGGCAACTTCCCGCCCAGAGCCGCCCGACGCCAGGGCCACCGAATCATTGACCACCAACTCCAAGCAAGGACAGCGCCGCAAAGCCCGACGCTCGCAACGTCGCTGCTCCACTTGTTCGTTGTGCCACAGGAAGCCCACCATCCACCGCCCCCGCTGGACGCCCCCCCATACGGGCATCTGCACACATGCCTGGACGAGACGCCTCAGCTCGGGGATACTCGAACAAATTATGGACGCGTCGGCGAGCGCGACCCCTGGCCGGCCCTCGGGCGAGCTGCTCCAATCTCACCGCAAGAGCACCTCGAGGTCCTCTGCCGCGTAATCGATCGCGCTTGTCAGCCGTGGCACGCCAGGGCCTACCTCGCGCATTCACCAATGACGCGGGGACGCGGGGTCGCGGGGCGCTGAGATGCTGCGTCGCGGGGCTGGGCACATTCGCCTAGCATTGGGCGTTCTACCTGACCTTCAACGATCCACTTGATCACGCCACCACACTTTGGCAGACATGGCCGATGGTTTCGCCATCTGCGCGACACCCCCTCCGGGGCGCATCCGCCACCTCGCTGCGATCGGAAAGACCAACCTTCGCCCGACAAAGCCCAGGCCATCGCGCGCGCGCGCCGCCTCAGCAGCGTCAGACTAAACCAAAGTGGCCCTTGGCCGCCCCGCGCGTGCTCGGAGACCTCTCGCCCGCAGCGCAATAGGTCCGTCTGCTTGGCGATGGCGACCCACGACGCGCAACATCTGCCGCGCCTGCATGCCGGCCCGAAGTTGATCGCGAAAAACATGGGCGGGGCCCTCAACCAGCTGGCCCCCTGAGAATCCAGCGGGACCGCAAATGAGAACATCCGCAAGCCCGCGCGCAGGAGCGACAACTTGACCACCGCAATCGGCCCCCTTGCCTGTGACCGCGTGGGCTCATCCTCCTCCGGGGCCGCTGCGCTCGTTCCGGCCGCCCCGGGATGGCAAACGGCTCCCGCGCCGTGCGATGGCGGGGGGAAACAGGCGCAGTAGTGGCCTCAAACACAGGATCGCACCATGGATCGCGCTGCGCCAACAAGCACAACGCGCCGCCCCCCCCCCCCAGGACACCCCGCCATGGCCGCGGCCGCTTGCTTCCTGTCCGTGAGCTCCTTGCCCGTGACACCACAGACCGCGGCGTCGTGACCAGAGGGCGGCAGGGGTCCAACGCGCCGAAGCTTCATGCTTTCAAGCCCACCATCCGCTTGAACAAATAAACTCGCTTCACCCTGGTCTCAGGCACCTTGAGGCCCTGCCTGGCTACTCTGCGCTGAAAAACTAATCCATGCAGCTCGCGCCCGCAATTGCGCGTGTGGCTCTTGGTGGCTAGCTGGCAAAAATATGAAGATTGCCTAGATGTCAACGCTGCTGCCTTCGACGTAGACACCAGTCCGGGTTCGCCGGCATGAACCACCTATCCCAAGTCTTGAGCATCGGATGCAAAACAAGGCAGCGCAGACCAGAAGACGCGCGACCCCTGCAAGCTGGGGCCAATGAATTCCACCGAAGCGTCGTCAACAAATGCGCGGGATAAAACATCGCCCTGCACCAACCCGCGCACTGCCGATGCCGCTACTACCATCAACATCGCGCCAGACTGACTGCATCCTGCGAGTGCCCCCATGCCACGGCTGATAACACTCCGACAATGACCCATGACGCTTGGCCGCGCGCGGCTGTAAATTGCGCCCCTACGCCGCCCGCGCAGGCGACGATGGGAAGCCCCCCGCGCGACTCTGATCCAGCTGGGCGGTGAGGTTGGCCAACCCAAAAGCCTTCCACCGACGCAATGTCCTCTGAGCAACGCCGCCATCTCGGCCTCAATTCAATGTCGCAGTCTGAGGCCGAACCTGGCGACAATCTCCCCGCGCCGCCTGCGCCCCGCGCGCTCGAAACACTGGCCCGCGAACCATCTCGGCAATCCTTGACAGCGCTCACGACCACGGCCATGACCAATCATTGACCAAGACCACCAGTCGACTGCCTCCATCGGGTTTAGCCGGCCTCGCCAAGACATTCACTGCGCGCCCAGTTGGCCGCCGCCCTCTGTCTTCACAGCTGCATCGACATTTTGTTTTTCATTCTGATTTTTTTTTTTTTAATAAAAAAAAAAAAAAAAAAAAAAAAAAAAAAAAAAAAAAAAAAAAAAAAAAAAAACGCCCAAGCTCGATACTCAAAATATGCTGCAAGGCGCGCGGCGCAATGCCAGTCTGCCCAACCGCCGTCCTCCTTGAACAGGCAGGCGCGACGCCCCACGAGCTGTCCGCCGCGATCAAAAGTAAACGTTCCCACTGAGAGGAATCGCCGGGCCGACTAGGCGCCGATTGCCCATGACGTCCCCGAACCTTGCGCCGTCCCTGTAGCTCGCCATGCGTCGTAGTCTGGCCTTCCCCCACATCATGCGCAGGCTCGGTCAGGCGGCTGGCTGCATTTCCCGCCCGGGAAAAAAAAAGGTGGACCTGTCTATTTTTGCCATGCCTCATGATTTTACCGCTGCCATGACCTTCGTGCACTGGCCCTCTTGCCCCCCGCGCGCCGCCCACCGCGCCCGCGAAGTCGCCCCACGGGAAGACAGCCGGCCCACCTTGGAAGACAGCAGGGACGTCGCTGAGAAATTTATGTGGCACCACCTCTGATATTGGCGAGGCGGAAAAAGCTGCTGCCTCGCTGGCCGCGACGTGGGCTCGCCTTCCTCTTGAAGCGAAGGAATCACCGCGGGGGTCGCTGCTGCGGGCTAAGACGCCTCGACCAGTCCTTGCTGAGCCGCTGCGGGCCTTTGTGGCGCAGGACCTTCAGGCGCCGCCATCGACAGCGGATCTTCTGTCTTGGCGATCTTGTCCAGCCCCTCACTGCCGACGCCATGTGTTTTAGAGCACCTGTTCCAAAGTACCCACCGTGGGCAACCTCCCTTTGCTGCCACCAAGCTGCTCAGAGCCAGGTCCAGGGGCGCGTTGCGTTTACGCTGTGGGCTTCGGCCTAGTAGCCTCCAGTGTAACATGTTGCCCACGAAGTGCCGCAATACTTCCCTGGTCTGCGTTAGCCAAAAAACCGAGGCGCTTAACTTTCTCCAGCCGCTTGTTGGCAATCCACTCTGATGTCTGAACGCGTAGATCCAAATCGCACAGCTGCCTGCTGACCTCGAAGCTTTGGACACCAAGTGTTCTCTTCTCTCGTTTATAAACTTGAATTTCGCTACGTTGCTGTGCGAGTTCAGCTCTGGTTGGTCCCAACTGGGGAACGCCACGAATCAGAATGTCCGGAATCCTTTTGCAAAGTTGCTTGGGTAGCAGACAGCTGCTCGTCAAGCTGTTCACCAGCAGACTCGGGTGAATCTTCGACATCCATAGCCATGGCATGTTCGGGCGATGGCCCAATATTTGTTCTGCTGTTGGTCGCGTACCTTTGATCATAACTCTACCAATTCAGCCTCCATTTTCTCGATGACTCCTGTGGTCTCCCATGGTGTGCCCGTGAGACTCGTGGCGGGAGAACTGCCGTCGCCACTCTGCTGCCGCCGGACACTGTGCACGTATCATACACTGATAGAATGCGAGTGAATGAATTAAAGAAGCACTCACCCTGGCTAGGGCCTCAGCTGTAAGTGCAGTCTTTGCAGTACCAATACTTGCGCACTCTGTTGTCCGTCGTGAGGCACATGGCCGCCGTCACCAAAGAGAACCAATCAACGTATTGCTGAACCGTCGCGTCAATATGGAATGCAGGGTGTACACTCCGGAGTATACGGGCGCGCGCCAGAAGTGGTGGGGGCCGCGAGATCCCCCCCGCCACGCAGGCCAAACCCTGAGCGAAACACTACGGACTTGAGCCAAGCTGAATACGAACTTTTCCTCCTCCTCCTCCTCCTCGTCCTCCTCTTCCTTCTTAGCCTCTCCTCCACCTCCACCTTCACCTCCACTCACCTCCTCCTTTACATCACCATACTGTTGCACATCGTATTCATACTCCGTCTTGTCTCCTCGCCAGGGTACCCAGAGTGCGAGGCGTCCACGTGTGCCCACCAATGCGACTACGAAATGACAGCTCGAATAACCTGCAAGACAGCACGGCGACTCCAAGAAGAGGGATCGAATGAAATGCATATTCCATTTCCAGAAGCCAATCCAAACTCAGCGGCGAAGCAAGCATAGGGCAGACGCCAGGGAGGTGAAATGGGCATCCCAGGCAACGGAAACAGAGTACTGATACGACTAGTTGTCGTCGCTTCTTGCTGTTACTGTTATCTGTAATATTCTTACGACTCGCATTCATATCCTCGCTATTCTTGAAATTGTCAGTATAATTCGTGCCCATCGTAATGTCAATCAGGTTGTGAGTGTGTATATTGATTGACCGTGCTACTTCTTTTTCTGAGGGAGAAAGGCGGGAGATAAAGATATTGAGGGAGAGAGAGAGAGAGAGAGAAAGACAAAGAGAAAGAGAGAGAGAGAGAGAGGCAAAAAGAGACAGTGAGAGAAAGAGAGAGGGTGGGGGAGAAAAACGTAAGCAATGGAAAACTAGACAATAAAGAGAGAACGAGAGAGAGAGAGAAAGAGGAAAGGTGAGCCGCGAAGGACCTCGCCGCCCGCGCCGATGCCAACGCTGCCGGCCAGGGCGTAGCCCAAGAAGCCGAAGGCGCCCGCCACGGCAACGCCGCCTACGGGCGGGCCGAGGGGAAGGGGGGGGACTTTGGCCGAGCCCGCTCTGCCCCCGCCGCGCCTCGCTGCCGAGATTTGCCGTCGACCCTTCGGTGATCCTCAGAGTGCGTGTGGGCGCCAACGTGCGCTTGTGCACTGGGGCCCCTTCGACACGACGCAGGCGGCGTGAGGAGGGCCAAGGTAGTGTGCGTGCTACTGGTGACGCTGAACAGGGTAACGTACACACGCACATACACACACACACACTCACACGCACTTCTTACGTCGGCGGCTAGGCAGCGGGACTGCGCTGGCGGATAGGGCGTTGGTAGGACAAGCGAAGGCGAATTAGGCCGCGGTGCACGAGGGGGAGGCACACACACGCACATGCACATGCACACGCACACGCACACGCACACGCACGCGCACACACACACACACACACTCGCACACACACACACACACACACACACACACACACACACACACACACACACGCGCGCGCGCGCACACACTCATGAGGCTGTCCTGATGACCATCGAACCCGCCAGGGCCGAGGGGAGGCATGCTTTGGAACTTTCTGGCCCTCCTCGTCGGGCCTCCAGGGGCCGCAGGAGGCCCTCGGAGGCTCCTGGGGACCTCCAGGGACCACCGGGGGACCTCTGCGGGGACTTGCGGGGACCTCCCTGGGGTCAAGATCCGGAGTGACAGCAAAACTTACCATGCCCCGCTTGCCATCTCCGCCTCCCTCCCATGCTTAGTAAAGGCCTCATAGATGGGGTCGGATACTCGCCACCGCGCGCGAGCCAGGTGCCAGGCAAACACGCGCAGTAAATGCTGCACCACAGCCTCTTTCCCGAACCACCTCCTAGCAAACTGGTGCAGAAAATCCTTGTCACTACGGCGAACGTCCTCTGGAAATATTTACGTGTACCATATTTGGCTGGAAGGGTGAACAACTTTTGCGCAGAACCACAACCTATCTTCATACGTGGGACGAGTTTAAGAATATGCCCCTGTGGCCAGGCAGTGGGAAGTACCAAGCCAGGCGTGGGAGGGCCCGACTTGTGTCACAAGATGGACCAAAGCGCACATAACTTTCCGACCACAACATGTGCCCACACACCAATCACGATACGTTCAAGTGACAAATCGAGGTCCTGATAAGAAATGCGCGCGCTGCCGAAGCCAAAGCGAAACGACCCGCCCTCGATCTGTGCAGCTTGGAAGCATCGCTCCTGAAGAGCAGAAGCTGGGAAGGTATCTCGAACGATGGACACGTGAAAACGAACCACCATCAGCAGGTTCAGCGGCCGGAAGTGCCAAACCGCGGCAATACTAAAGGCAAGGATGCACCAATCGAACATATGACGTTGAAGCGGTACAGATAGCGAGCTCCAGGATCGTAGCCATATATTGCGACGACAACCCAATCCCACAAACAGCGTGTGTGAGACAATGTCGTCGTCGTCGTCGCCAGCCCCGAGGTCGAAACTAACAGCATTCGACCTAGTCCCGTTTGTCCCTCCCTGACGAGGGGGGTATGTGGGGGGGAATAACGGAGGGGTCCCGGGTCAGATTACCTCAAGCCCCCCCGGGGCGTGGCGGCCCTCCTCCCTCCCCTCCCCAGGCGGTTCCCCGTGGAGAAAGGGGGGCAAGGGGGTGACTTCCCTGTCGGCATGGGAAGTCAGGGCCCCTCCCCCCGCTTCGGCCACGGCTCTGGGCCCCGTCCCGGCCCTGGCCCCCGGCCCCCCGCCCCGGCCCCAGCCCCATCCCCAGCCCCACCCCTCAAAGGCCCCAGCGGCCATCCTCCTCATCCTCCTCCTTTCTCCCTTATCCCCAGCCATCCTTTCTCCTCCTCTCGTGTCCTCCTCCCCCTCCTCCTCCTCCTCCTCCTCGTCCTGCTCCTCCTCCTCCTCCGCCTCCTCCTCCTCCTCCTCCTCCTCCTCCTCCTCTATCGTCCTCCTCTCCTCTTCATCCAGACCTCACTCCTGCCGTCCCGCGCGCTTCCTAGCCTCATAGGGAGCTCCACATAAGGGCCCTGCGGCAGGTTCCGCATGACGTACCTGCATTCGATCGGCACATCCCGCGAATGCCCCACGACGCGCGCCAGCCGCTCCGAAGGAGTTCGAGCGACGCGCGCGGGTCGTCCGCGGCGCGGAGTCAGCAAAATCGGGCGGCTGACAAAGGGAAGCGCCAGGCAGAGCGCGCGGGTGTCGGGCAGCACTTGGGGGCAAAGCGCAGGGAAGTCCCCGCGACGCGCATTGGTCGCCCCGAGAGGACTCCAGCGACGCGAGCAGGTCGTCCGCGGCGCGAGGTAATACACTGAGGCAATCGAGAGAAGGCGAGACTCCGAGGGCCGTTCCTCAGGTCAGGCCTCGCGGATAAACCCTGCGAAACCCAACTCCTTGGCGATGCCGTCGCCGAGCTAAGAAGACCCTCCGCTCTCGCATGCCCGATTTTCTCCCACCCACGCCTCAATCCTTAGGCCCCCTCCTCCCTTTCACCTGCCCCGAGATGCTCGCAGCTGCATGTGGTCGGGTCCCTCGCCGAGCTAATGTTCGTTTTGTTTTGGTTCGGTCGCTGCCTGGAGGACCCCTTCTGCGAGCCCCTCCGACCAAAAGACCTTACGGGTTTTCGCAACCAGAGACGCCCCACGGGTAGCGCCTGAAGTCGCTGCCCTTGGGGTGCGCGGATGCCTGTAGGCAGGGAGGGCCAGTAGGCGTGCCTGTAGGCAGGGAGACCCTGCACGCGGGCCTGCAGGCACAGAGGGAGGAGCGCCCCAAAGACGGGGACGGCCTGTAGGCGTGAGTGTAGGCAGGGCAGCGTTCAGTGCGAGTTGCAACCAGTATCAATAAGAAACCGCCCACACACGAGTAAACAAACATGCCCAATAAAGATGAAGATTTGCGTGCAGAAAAACGCAATGGCTGGCACCCGCAAGCGCCGCGATTCAAACGATCTCATAAGTCAGAAGATCAAGAGGAGGCTGCTCCGAGCCCGCTGCTGCACAACAGGGCGGGACCAATAGGGGCCCTCCCCCCGCCGCGGCGCGCCTGCGAACGCCAGGGCCCTCCGCCTGCAATCCGCGGCTCGCCCCTCCGCGGACGACACCTCACGGGCCGCGTCGACCTGGGCACTGCTCTCCTCCTCTTCTTCGACGCGCTGTCCCTGCACATGCCCGCATCGCGGGGGAAAAAACACGGTGGGAATTGGTTTGGCCGTCTCTGTCCTCGGGGGCCCTCGCTGGGTCCTGGGACGGTGGAAAAACTGACCGGGCCATGGGGAAAAAGTCTGGACTTCAGGGAGGGGCCATATTGGGGAGAAAAACATCGCATGTTTGGGTCACCTTCTTCGATGCGGTCAGGTCCCCGCCACGTCAGCGGTTCATCCTCCGTGCCTTCCTCATCATCAGTATCATCAGCATCATCATCATCATCATCATCATCATCATCATCATCATCATCATCATCATCACCAACACCATCACCATCATCACCATCACAATCATCGTCATCATCAGCATCACCATCATCATCATGAGCAGCAGCAGCAGCACCATCATCATCACCCCCACCACCATCCTCATCACCATCATCATCGTCATTATCATCATCATAATCATCATCATCCTCACATTCATCATCATCCTCCTCCTCATCTCCCTCATCCTCATCCCCATCATCGTCAGCATCAGCATCATCATCATCATCACCATCACCATCATCATCGCCATCACAATCATCGTCATCATCATCATCACCATCATCATCATGAGCAGCAGCAGCAGCACCATCATCATCACCACCACCACCATCCTCATCACCATCATCATCGTCATTATCATCATCATAATCATCATTATCCTCATCATCATCATCATCCTCCTCATCTCCCTCATCCTCATCCCCATCATCATCAGGATCAGCATCATCATAATCAGCATCATCAGCATCATCATCATCACCAGCATCATCACCAGCATCAGCATCACCAGCATCATCATCATCATCATCATCATCATCATCATCATCATCATCAGCATCAGCATCATCATCATCATCATCATCATCATCATCAGCACGGCGGTCCTTGCATCGACAGAAATGAGCCGGGGCGTCGTGTGTGTGTGCCCTGGCACCAGGCTCACGTACCCCACCCATGCGGCCCGCAGCGTCCTCACAACCTCTGTCTCTACGCATCACTTCGGGAGCCATGTTCACACGCGTCTTCCGAAGTGGCAGGGCCAACATGAAGGGGCCCTGGGACACACAAATAAATAGACACAAATAACCGGATTCCCAATATTTCCCAATTTCTTCTGTGTTTCTTTCTTCCCCCCCCCACTTCCCATATGTGTCTGTGTGTTTTTTTCCCCCCTGACAACAGTGAGCAGGTGATCGCATCGCACCCCGTCGGGCCCGGGCCACTCGGCGTCTCCGCCGATCCGCCGACACCCCGTCGGGCCGCGAGCCGCGGGGACGGGGCCCAGCGCTGCCCCCGAGGGGCGGCGAGGCTCTGCGGGGTGGGGAGCAGCAGGCACCCATTGGGGCCGCGACCAGCAGGGGCAGGGGGCAGACGCTGCCCCCGAGGGGCCGCGGCCCTCTGCGAGAGGAGGGGACGAGGGGGCACTGGCCCTGCTCGAGGGAGGAAAGCTCGCCCCCACCCTGGGTCACGAGTGCGTGGTCTGTAAGCCTCCTGGGACCTCCCAGAGGCAAGAGAGCCACCAGGACGCCAGCGCGATGCGCAGGCATTGCCCTGTCAGCCCACAAGAGGCTCCGCGCACAGGGCCTCGTAAACCAGGGTAGGGGCGTGTTTTACGCCCTTGACCTACTCGCTTGCTGCGAGGCGTGGGTGCCACTGGGGTCTTCTCTGCCACTGGGGTCAACGCGGCCCACCAGGGCCAGTCTCTGAGACCCCAGCGACAAACTCCGACCTTCCTCTGGTTTACCCCTGGCCAAGAGGCCGCGAGCTCAACGGCTGAAAGCTATAGAAGAGAACACCTACGCTGAAGCACACGCCCAGGAAGACACTTGAGAGCCTCCAGTCAGGAACCACACCGGGAACAACGATGCAACAATGGAGAGCCTCCAGCAGTCAGGAACCACACTTGGATCCGCGAAAAGACACACTCCACCCCTCTCCAGGATGGCCAACTAGCCGCTTTTGCGTACTTCTGATGGCTTCCAGGTATTTGCTGACAACTGAATTGGCGAGCAAGCCATCCTTTGAGAGATTGGATGGCTTCTCGCTTCACTTCTGACCCGTGTTGAAAGCTCCCTCAACCTGGCGCATTGTTTGCAATCGCGACGGCACGCCCAAAAACTGGGCTGTCCGCAGGCGCCGGGGGCGTCCCAGACAGCAATGGGCAACTTCAGTATATAATCAGGCATAGTTGCATGTCTTCTGTTTCTCTTTGTACAAGTATGCTGATTCGTTTATTGTTCCGCCTACGCGTCTGCAAGGGATGCAAGGCCGCAGTCAGTCAGTCTGGCCAGCGGCGCCTCAGCCACTCTACGAGAGCACTTGCAGGGCAGGAACATGATCGGAAGGCCATGGCCCCCCTCCGCCAGCGCGATCAGCCTCTTCGCGGCGCTCCTGTGTTCCAGCGGCACCCTCCCCCCCGAGTCGCTCGGTCATCTTGGACCTCCTGTGAGCCAGGCGCGGGCGCTACCAGGCCCGCAGGGATCGCTCAGACAGGGCGGCGGCCGCCTCCTCGCCGCAGAGCACCAGGCCCAGCTGCAGCACGCCTCCCAAGCGCCTCGCCGGCGGCGAGGCCCGCAGGCGCCAGTTCTGGACCCCGCCGCGCTGGCGGCGCCACCTGCTTGCCTCCTGCCCTGCCCAAGCGGGGGCGCCGCCACGCCGCAGGGAGTGCTGCGGCGCAGGCCGGCGGCCGCCTCCGCGCCGCAGAGCGCGAGTCCCAGCTGCAGCAGGCCTCCCAAGCGTCTCGCCGGCGGCCAGGCCCGCAGGCGCCAGTTCTGGGACCCTGCCGCGCCGGCGGCGCCAGCTGCCTGCATCATCTTGCCCTGCCCGCGGCAGGGGGACCGCGCCAGGCCGCGGAGCCCTCCGCTGCTGCAACACTGGGAGGACCCGCTGCGCGCCGCGGCTTGGACCCCCTCGACGCTGCTTGCGGCAGGAATCACTCAGCTCGCCGTGCCGCCAGCAGTGGTTTCGACGTGCAGTGCCGAAGCTACGCGCGTCGGCCGTCTGGCGTGCTACACGCGCTTCGCTGTCCAAGCCTTGGCAAGGCAAGCTCTGCAATGACCAAAGCAATTTGCGTTTACGCCAGGCTCCCACACTCTGGCCCAAAGGCAGGCGGTCTGCCCCCTGGTCCTCTGCGGGCGCACAGTGGCTGCGTGGCGCAACTTCCCTGGGCCCCCCACAGTGGCTCACCAACGGCTCACGCATGCCCCGATGGGGCCCTGCAAGCACGCTGGCGCAACCCTGGCGGCCCCAGACTTCGCCCTTGCGGGGCCGTCTAGGACGGCAGAAGAGCCCTCTCGGGGGCGCCACTGGGGAGCGCAACCCGCCTGCGGCCGAGGAGGTCCTCGGCGCCGCGCTGGCAGCGCTGGCGACGGACCTCGCAACTGACGCGCGCGGCAACATCGCACCCCGCCTCGCGACCCTCACGCGCAAGCCTCGGCGAGGCGTTATCCTGAGCCTGGGTGCGGGGCCTCGCGATGGACGCTGGTTGCGCGCGCGTGCCGAGAGATGACCCTGCCACATTGGCAACGGCAAGGATTCTGAGCTCTGGTCCCGCGAGATTTGATTAGGTGACGCGACACCGAATCATTCCCCAACGGCCACAACTGGGGCCCCTTCCTCGTCCACCATCAGAGCTGTCATCGGAGCTGTAATGGAGCCGTTGTAAACCCAACGGCGCATACCACAATGCCACACTCGACAAGGGAATGCCCAACGTGACCGCCGCGGCTGGACCAGCATCGGGAGTTGCCAAGGGCGCTGCACCCGAAGCCGTTCAAGGCGCCGCCCTTGGTCCTGCCGTGGGGCATTATCTCAGCCGCGCTGAGCCTGCCTCGAAGCAAGGGTTTAGCGCTCTAGCGAACCCGCGTCACGCAGCTCCAGTTTCACCGAGGCGCTCTGGTGCGCGGACCTTTCCGCTGCGTTAAGTTCACCAGTTGGCCCATGCACTGCGACCGTCATGCTCCTCAACATGCTTTAGCGCTACAAGGCCCTCGGCCCCAGGACGCCTGCTCCCGGCTCCCGAACGCTCCGCCAGAGCAATGAGCAGCAGCGACGCCGCCGACGACGCAGCGAGCACCGCCGCAACGACAGCCGCCGCTGCCTCGAGACCCCGCACAACCAGATATAGCCGCAGTCTTCGGGCACGGCGCGGAAGACACCGTGGCGCGGCTTGCCCGCGCAGGGCTGGATACCGTCGGACCTGAGGCGGGGAAACCACGCAGCGGCGCTGCGCGACGCCTCAAACAAGGGCGAACGCCGTAGCGCCCACCAACCCCCAGAGGCGCGCTGCGAGACCGGCAGGCACCACCGCAGTTTCGGATTCTGCCCAGCGGGAAGCGCGGCCGAATCCATAGCGAACTGTTCACGCCGCCAGCTGCACCTAGGGGCCATGTGATTAAAATGCGTTTTAGCGCAATGAAAAAAAAGGAGCCCCTAGAAGTCAAACGGCGGCGAGTGGCGCATATACACACGTGACACATGCACTATCTCACACCCGTGAAACTTTGTCCCGGACTACCTGGTAGACCGCGCAGTACCGCTGGTCTCAGTAAGCCTCGAGGGGCAGTAAAAAGAATGCTCCCATGCTGGGATTACTCAAGTCAAAGGCAGCCAGGACGCAGTCACTCACTTCCCCGATGGGATAGCATTCACCGTGGCCCTCGCCAGTTGATGTTTGACTTTCTTTAAGGTAGATTCAGGGTCTGGAGTTACGTCATACGAACTTGCACGTAAGATCTTAATTATCCCAATGCGACCCGACCTAGGGATTGGAGCATTTAGGAAAGCAACATCTACATCTACACCGACAACTACATGTACATCGACACTGCGTCTACATCTACATCAACATCAACAGCGAGACTCACATTTACATTTACATCTACACCTACATGTACACCTACAGATATATCTACATATACATCCACACCTTCATCCACAACTACACCTACACCTACATCTACATCTACATCTTCACTTTCGCATTGGCTTTGAGTTTGCTTTGCATTGCCTTCGCTTTTGCTTTTGCCTTTGCGTTTGCCTTTGTCTTTGTTGTTGTTTTTGATGTGGTTTTGTTTTTGCGTTGCCTTTTCTTTGCTGATGCGCTGTGTTGTGCTATGTTGTGCTGCGCTATGATATGTTATGCTATGATATGCTCTGCTATGCTGCGCTATGCTGCGCTACGCTATGCTACGCTAGGCGGCGCTCTGTTATGCTAGGCTATGGTATGCTATGCGATGCTGCGCTATGCTATGATACGCTGCCCTATGCTGCGCTATGCTATGGTATGCTATGCTATGCTATGATATGCTGCGCTGTGCTATGCTATGCTGGGCGATGCTATGACATGCTAGGCAAAGCTAAGCTAAGCTAAGCTAAGCTAAGCTAGGCTACAGCGAAGCGAAGCTAAGATGAAGCTGAGCTTAGCTAAGATAAGCTAAGCTAAGATGAAATAAGCAACGCTGAGCTAAGGGGACGTAACTGGGAGAACCGCGGGGCGGATACTAGGGGAACCGCCCGGGGCGAGTTGCACTGCCCGGCCCCTCAAGCACACCGAATAAGAACCCTTCTAGGCAGAGCCTAGGTAAGGAATACGACAATCAGTAGGCATATTCTTCGTCAGACAATCAACATCCATGACACTTGTATCGGTCCATCGTATACTGCCACAAAATATGCGTGGCTGTACAATCTCTACATCGTCCGTTCCATGAGTCAAAATATCCTGTCTTAACGACCCAAATCGATTCACAAACGATTATCTTCTGTCTTACCCATAGTTGGTGCTATGAGATGTTCCTCAAGGCTTGTGCAATCTGTCATCCATAAGTGTCTCACAGACATGGCTGATTTGTCTTCCCAGTTGGTTGGCAGCTTCTTTTCTGTGCCAAGCATCCCGCGCGCATCTGCGATGGCATCGCGATAGCGTGCGCCGGATTCTACACCCCATAAGCAAGTCATGATATCTGCTTCTAATGTAGATTTACATACTCGTTTGATAACTCTACTAGATATACACTCAGGGTGAACATGATCACTGTTCCCCTCGATGGATCCAGGCGCTGCGAGCCCATTGAACCTAGCCCTCTGTGACCTGAGAGGCTCGATTCTGCCCTTGACTACATCCTCTTCTCCTGCCCAGCTGGCGCCAGCAACGGCAAGAACTATCGTGCCCTGGTTCCACTTAACATCTCCACCTTTGAATACTAACCCGCAGTCAGCGGACTGAGTTGTTTCTTCTACCTTATCGCGACGCACTGCTGTCTGCAGTCTGCTCACACGATACGATAGCTCAGGTTTACACTGATGTGTAACGATCCCATGACAAAGCACCCACGACCAATCTAAGCTGCGCTGCGTTGGCCCCCATTGCATTTTCTCGTGAGGGGGCTGTCTCTAGGATAGGATGCAGCTCCGACCTTCTCAATCTTGCCCTTGGCCGTGATACTCGCCGTGAAGTATTCATCTTGAACAACTTCTAAACCGCAAGAACGGAAACTATCCGACTTGATCTCGCGCGTCTCAAACTCTGCTAATACCGGAGCGATGATTTTTGACTCTCATCATCTGCGGCCCACCGTATGTCATCCACATGTGTAGCTAACATGCACGTGATCTCGTTCTTGTCATTGTGAATGCTGAACAAGGCAGGCATGATACGATTCTCCTTCAGACCATGAGCTTCAAACCCTCTGCGAAACTTCTTCCACAAACCTCGCCCTGCGTCGCGCGTGCCATAGACAGGCATACGCGCGATGAGTGCCCCACCATCCGGTGCTCCATAGAGTCCGTCGGGCGGTGGCTTGAGCAGCATGTGGCGGTCGAGGTCCTGCCCCTGGAAGCACGCATATGCAATGTCGACACACTTGAGCGTCTTCTTCGTGCCGGCAGCCCATGATACGATCAACCTTAGCACTTCTATCTCGCATGCTGGTGAATCCGCGCGGTTATCCAAAGACTCCCAGGTCTCCACCCGCAAGCAGTCCACTGTGCGGCAAGTCCACCCGGTCTACGGATGCGTTCATTCTAGACAATCGCAATCCATTACACAGCTACCATGCGGGATCCTGCGTCGAATAGATTGTGCAGTTCCACGGAATCAATTGGCACGGCTGCGTTGAACTTCCGCCAGTTTCCCCCATTCGTCTTGTCTTGCCAATCGTAAACCGCTTGTAACGTCCTCAGACTCCCGATGATATACGAAATTATTTGTACTCACTCGCTTCTTCTTGACTTGCGGCTTATGCGCGGTGCGTTCATTGAAGAATCCGACAAGCGATTCATGTGGCTTAACAGCGAATGAAGCTTCCCTACGAGCTAGAAGATCCATGCCCGGCCCTGATGTCCCGGCCCTGCGCATGGCCTCAAGCAGTGGATTCGCTGGCTCGGGAGCTGGCTCCGAGACTGAATCGGGAACCCTTCCCGTGCTACCATCGGCATTCTCGACTCTTCGGCGCATCACTTCGTTGCGACTCTGTATACCGCGCGGGACGTTGTCTAGTAGCGACCTCTGAAGGGGCGTTCGAGTCACCGGCGACGACATCGACGCGGGCGGCACAGGAACGACCATTCCATATGACAGTTCATCTTCTTCCATTTGGCGAAATGCTTCTTCTATGAACTCAGGGTCTTCTGGAATCCCTGGCAGCTCCTCCGTCGCCATATGACGTTCTTGCGCGGAATGCTCTTGCGCCCGTGGTTCTGGCAGCTCGCGTCGCTCGTCCATGAACGACTGCCGCTGCCCGTCTGGGATTGCATACCTGTCAACACCACCGCCATGGTGCTCAGAGAGATTTGGGTAAGCCAGCGCTTCCGCCGCTGTACACGGTCGAAGCCTGTCGACAGTCACGCAGACAGGTACACCCTCTGTGATAACCCATGCGTTCTCGCCATCGAACCCAACCATGCGAGGACCAGTGCTCCACTTAGCAGCAACCTCGCCGTTGGTCGGCCTCTTGCGGAAGCACGCTATACCACCTACCTGATATTCTCCAGCTAGTGGCGCTGCCTTTCGGAGAGCGGCCCTTGCCGCCCCACCCCCGACGTCGCGTTCTGCAAATGGTTTGTCTGGCAGACGCCCGGGTCGCACCCTGGCGAGAGAACTCGTCGGCTCCGTCCTCGGCAACATTAGCAAGAACTCCTAAGTCGAAAGCTTCCTCGTCGTCGAACTGACCCCCTGGGACACGAGGCATCCTTCCGAATACCCACTGTGCAAGCGCAAATCCGGCGACTCGTGGCATCTCATTCTTCGTGTTGCCGACTTCTGATGCAGTAGAGATGACTTCATCGAGACCGGAAACATTCTTGTCGTGCACCACCTTCTTGAAGATGTTCTTCGAACGTCCACCATGTCTCCCGGCGCGGCCTATCTGTCTGCTCGGGAGACTCGACTCCGGCGTCGCGGAGGTAGATCCCTTGACCTTAACCATCGCAAAAACACTCCTCTGGTGTGCAGCCCACGGTCTAACACCATTCGTTTGGGCTTGCCTGCCCATGTACACCAGCGTTGCTGAAGTGCAGCGAGGCATGCTCTCGAAGATGGCGTGCCACCTCCCTGCTTGACAAAGATCACACGCCGAAATGTGGCACCCTGGCACACTGTGTGCAAGAAAAGCGCACCGTTCTCCACTGTTGTATTTCACCTCTAGACAGTCGATGCCGACTTCATGGTTGATGCAGAACTTCTTGGGCAAGGCAACCTTGCGAGTCAGAGCTAGCGGTTTGTGATGCTACATCGATAACTCTGGGCAGCTTCAATGTAGTCCGAAGACATTCTGGCGATTCTCAATATCTGCACGAGAACACGACTAGGCACATGACCAAACTGTCTGTGCAGTCGTCTAATGGCGACCCTTGTGCGGAACGGGATTTGCAAACCACGCTTTCCTTATCTTGTCTTCGTGCTTCGGCTCGCCAGGTAGGTTGATTTGTTCCAGGATATATGGTTCTTCATCTCGCAGGCGTTCCTTAGAGACCGTAGCGACGTCGTCATCGCCGACGATCGCGCCCATATCGCCTCGAACTCTCTCCTCGGCGGCTTCAGCGGGGTAAGCTGCAAGTGCAAGTCTACCCAGTCGAACTTTATGACCTCGCCCTCTGAGGGCGCCACAGAATTTCTGACTCGCGATGTCTGCGTTCGACTCGAGGTACGAGTTCAGCGCACTAGCAACCTCGAGGCTTGAGCAACCAGGCTCATAACCAAGCGCAACAGTTACATGACCATTTCCTTGAGCCAGGCTAGTAGAAAAAAACAATCAATGATTACATGATGATTTGTTGCTGATGTGTAGGCGACAAGATCAGGATTGCGCTCGACGATGCGTTTTGCCATCGATGGCTCCCAATCTGGGCGCGCCACCGTGTCGCTCGAGGCTGGGCCGGCGAACGCGATGCCAACGACGTAAAGCAACGCCCCGGCCAGGTTGGCCCCCACTCGTCCGCGAAGCGGATCGGTGTTCCCGATCACCTTCTCGACGATCTCCGCGTCGGTGGCAGATATGCCTGGCGCGGACAGCTGGGCCACACACGCAGAAAACAACTCATCTTGCATACTGATGCTACCCTGTCCAGCGCAGTATTTGGCACGATTTTTAGCATTGATGGTAGTCATCTCATGCTGGCGCACAAATGCGATGTTCCGTCAACGCGAACCCTCGGAGGCTGCACAAATATGGCTACTGGATCGAACTCCTCAGCACCCGCAGAAGAACTCACGGCAACACGATCTCCGACGCGCCAACTTCCTGCGCAAACACCACGGGCGCCTGCGCGCCCCCAAATATTTTCTCGAGAGTGCCCCAGCCGTTAGCATTGCACGACTCAAACACATAAGCTTGGCCATCAAGCTCAGCGGAGGCGGCGGACTTCGACGAAGGCCTACGCCGCGGGCTGCAGCGCGAAAGCCAATGCACTTGGGCTCCAGGCGTGGCCTGACACGTGCCTTGGCTGACAAGAACAAGTAGCGGGGCGGCTGCAGAAACAGCTCAGCAACGCCAGCGTGCATCTGGTCGCCTCTCACGTCGAGCTCGCCGGACTTGACGCCCTGACCGTACTGCAGCACGTCGAAGAGGTGCCATGCTGCCTGCAGGCCGTCGAGCGCCTGCCGGTGCAGCCACTTCGACTCACACACATACGAGTCTAACCAAACAGCAGCATCAGGTAAGACGTCTGCAACATTAATTGCCTGATCACTGCTCGCATGCTCTTCATCAAAAAAGTCGGTAACTCTTCTGCTCGCCCATGTCGAGCTAGCGCCACGGATTCGCCACGTTCACCATCTTGAGCTCGGCGCCCAAGACGGCCCGGGCGATGGCTTGCTTGCCGCCGCGATGCCCCTCCCGGAAAGCCTCCGCAGCTGCTTCATCTGCGAAGGCGTCGCCCATCTCGGCGTCGCGCGGGGCGGGCGCGCCCCCCCCCCCCCCGCCAGCGGGCCCCGTGCCGCGAGGCTCGCCTGCCCCATCACCACCAGCAGCAGCACGATGATCGGCGAACACCCTCGCAAACTCCAGGAACTCGGGAGTGGCCAGCATACTCTTGATCGCGCCCCTGCCCTCCAGCATCGCAGGGCGCAGTTTGAAATCCACAGGCTGCTCGCCGCCATCATGATCGGCAGCGCGAGGGAGAGACTGGGCGCGTTGCCGCTGCAGCTCTGCCACCTCCGCCGCCGCCGCCCCCTTGCGCGCCTGGATATCGGCCACCCTGGCGTTGAGCTCCTCGAGCGTCTTGTTATGCTCCTCCAGCTCCGCCGCGACCTTCTCCAGCATGGTTGTAGCCCGCGCGAGCTTGCGCCCCGCGTTCGCGCGCTGGGCGATGTTCGGCTTCTTGCTCTCAGTCTCTGCGCGTGCAGTCTTGAGCTTGCCCTCGAGAAGCGCGCATCGGCTGTGTCATCGCCTTTGCCGCAAGCCTTGATCGCCGCCCCCAACTCGTGCGCTCGCGCTTGGATTGGGTCGAGATCTTCACCGCCGCCGCCAATGGACTTGGCCCCGCCGCGCTGCCCCCCTGCGCCGCGCCCGCCCGCGGCGCCGCGAGCAGGCTGTGGGGGGGCCCCCTCCGATGAGCTGATCCAGCTTCTTCTGCAACTCGGCAATCTGGGACTCCGGCTCGGCCTCGCGCCGCGACCCCGTCGAGGGCGGGCGGCCGCGCCCAGGGTCAGCACCACGATCGTTGCCCCCGCCGCCACTGCCACCAAAAGGCCCGGCACGCTGCAGCACGCAGGCGGGCGCCTTGGCCCCGCAACGGCACCGCGTCCTGCGCGCCCATATGCTCGTGAGCCCACGCGCCTGGCAAACCCAGAACGGGGCCCTTGGCCCGCAGACCACTTCTACGCCATCCATGAAGGCCGCTGTCGCACAGAGGTGCCACGCGACCGATGCCCTCGGAGCGCCGAGGGACGAAGGGGTGCTCCAGCAGGAGCTCACTGAAGCTTAGCTGAGGCAGCCAGGCCACTGGAAGGGGCTGCCCTTCCAACTCAGCATCGAGCCTCGGGAGTCGGGACGGGAGGTAAGCTCCGTCTTGAGCCAAAATGGCTACGGGGACCGAGTAAGCGGTGGCGCCGACGCAGTCCTCGTGGCCTTCCAACGCGCGCGGGCTCTGACCCGAGCTTCCAGACCAGACCTTCACGACGCATCGAGCTCGGTCAGCAGCTGCGCGGACCGCCTGGCGAGCTTGGCCAACGGCCCTGCCGCCCGCTCGACCAGCTCGTGCAGCGTGCAGCTCAGGTCGGCGACCAGCGCGAGGAGGTCGAACGGACCAAAAGCTCTCAACGCCGAAAGCCACGGCGCTGCCCTAGCCCATGGAACACGCCATGTGGCAGGCCCCCGCGGCAGCCTGCGCGTAGCACAGGTCAGCGACCACCGCGCAGAGGAGGCCGCACTGGCAGCCAGAGTTCTCGCCGGTGGCCTCGGCGCTGCCCCCGGTTCCGAAAAGGGGCGCGTGCCTCGCACCAGCGGCAACGTGCGAGGAGCTCCGGCCAACGGCCACCGAAACAAGGCCGCGCCGACCGAAACCGCTGGAGACGCAGGCCACGGCGCTGCCATCGCCCCCGAGCAGCACCGTGCGGCTCCAACCAACAGCACCCTGCGCAAAGCTCAGGTCGGCGACCAGCACGCCAGTGTCCCAGGCAGCGGCCACCGCGGCCAGCACGAACAGAAGGCACCCGCCCTAGTGAGCAAAACCCGCTCCAGCACAGGGGGTCGGCCCACGGCGTCCCCAATTCCTCGCAGCTGGTCCAGCGAACGCCCTGCACACGGAACAACGGACATGCCCGCGGCCAACGCTGGACAACAAAGTGGTGCCCGACTCCGCCGTGGTGGACGCCGTGGCACAGCCAACCCGCGCAAGAAGGACGCACGATAAGGATGCAGGGGCCTTGGAAGGCCATGCCGACACTTTGCGAGCGGGGCGCGGCCAGCGAGAACGGCCAAGGATGGGCCGAAGGGGAAGGATGCAGGGGTAAGTTTGGAAAAATACTCATCCATACTATGCGGGTTGACGGACCGCACTGCCCCATTTCGCAGAGGTGGGCACCGAAGGGGACACGCCGCAACCCCGCTGCCCCGCCGGCAAGCGCGCAGGTCCCTGCCCCGCGGGCAAGCGCAGCTTCCCCCCGTGCGGGCGCACAGGCCATTCCCACGAGCGGCCGCCTGTCTCGAACAACTGGCCGTGGCGCCTCTTGCAGTAGCTCCAGGCGGCTCGTCTCCTCGTGGGGCTGGAGTGAGCAGCTGCCGTGTGGGGCAGGGGGGTCGTGGACCGCGGCAGCGGCCAGCGGGGGAGCCCCACCCATGCCCAGCAGCGGCGTGCCCCTCCCCTGGGGGCGGACACCACACGCCGCGCACATCGCCAAGAACATCACCGGCGCCGCCGCAGCTCAGTGCCCTCGGCGGATGCCCTGGGCTGGCCGAGGCACGCCGCTCTTTCGCCATCGCCGCGGTTGCGCCACGCACCCCAAGGGCCTCAGGAGCTCCCCGCTGGCCCCAGCGGGACCCTGGCCCAAGGCCGTGGCGCCCCGCCTCCACGGGGCTGATGTGCTCGGGCGGGGCAGCCAGCGGGATCCCGCTCGCCGCTGCCACGCGCGTGCGCCATTGCGCCCCCTCCCCGTGGGGGACCAACGTCCCGCGGGAGGTGAGGCATGGCCCGCCGCGCGCCCGCGGCAACTCTCAGGTGGGAGGCCTCTGCTGCGGGGCCGCCGCGGAAGGTGGGGGGCGCCGCCTGAAGCCGTTCTGGGCCACGTGGGCCCAAACAGCTGCGGAGAAACCTTCGCGCTACTCGCTGCTCCCCCGCCATACTCCCGTACGCTAGGCTGCACACGCATCATCATCACCATCAGCATGATCGTCATATTCCTCCTCATGCTTGCCTTGTCACCAGGTTGCTCCTGCCGCTGCCGCTGCCACCGCTGCTGAAACTGCCGCTGCCGCAGGTATCCCTCCTCCTCCTCCTCCTCCTCCTCCTCCTCCTCTTCCTCCTCTTCCTCCGCGTCGTGACTCCTTCTCACCGTCAGCCTCCTCATGCTCATCCTCGTGATCCTCATGCTCCTCCCCCATCAAGCCCCGGCCACCGCATCCATCAAGCCCCGGCCACCGCATCGCAGACAGCATCCCCGATGTGGCGCCCGATCGTCATCGGACCAAGGCACCCGACGATGGGAGAGCAAGGGGTGACGTTGAGAGGGGATCGTCTCAGGGGGAGAAACATCGGGTTGGAATCGGCGATACGTTGCCAATAGATCGAAACCTGGCCCACGATAGCGAAACCGGAAGTTCCTGGGCGGGATGGGCCATCGGGCCACCATCGGCGACGAAGGGGCGGTCGGGTGTCGACGCGCCCCCCCTGGGCCTGTCCGTTCCTAACGTTGTCCCCTTGGCTCTCGGGCCACAACTCGGCTCTCCGGCGGCGCCTCCGGCTCTCGGCGACGCGCAACCGCTGGAAGCTGGAGAACCTCCCGGAGCCGGCGAACAAATCCGAAAGCCTCGAACCAGAAACCCCGAGCCTCGAGCCTCGAACCCCTGAGCCGATGCCCCCCTGGCGTGGCCCCCGAGGGGGGGCGAGCCGATCACGGCGCCAGCCGCGCCCCGAACGGACATGCACTGTCGGCATCGAACGGACATGCGCATCGGATCGGGTTGCACCGGCACTGCATCGAAGTCGAATCGGACGGTCCACCCCAGGATGCGCAACGGCGCTCCCGTAAGCCTCGGGCCGCACGAGATCGTCAGAGTATCGGAATGATCCAAGCCTCGGAACAAATTAGCGAACACTCATGGTGCCACATTCATATGTCAACGGTTCTCCCCCCCCCCAACGTTCAAAGTTGGCGGTGGGTCTGATGAGGTGCACTTCGACCGCAGTGCCCGCCGCGCGTGCCAACATTGAGGTTGGGGAGAAGGGGAATAATTCAGAAATTGTTTCTGGGGGGTTCTGCGAGACCATTATGATATGTGTATATATATATATATATATATGTGCAATTGTGTGTAGATATCACCCTTTTAACTGTTCTGGCGCCCGGGTCGTCCCGCGCCTAATATGGTCACGCATTGCTCGTGCCGCTCGTCCCATCACTCCTTAATCCCACCAGCCCTCTGGGTGTCGGTGGTTTAGAGCGTTTCCTCTTCCACCCCTCCTTCTTCTCCTTCGGGGAGGGGTTTACCCCTCCCCCTACCCCCTCCCCACTGACCTGGACAGGGGGGGCGGGGAGCGGTCAGAGCGTCCAAAACGGCCTCGCCGAGGAAGCCAAAATCATTGATTTTACTAAGGTTTTGGCCCCATTTTGGCCCCCAGAGGGGGCAGCACTAATTGAAGCTCCCCTCTTCTTTGATCGATTTCCTCCAAGATGGCCCCAAGAAGCGCCCAGGAGGCACCAAGAGGCCCCAAGATGGCCCCAAGATGGCCCCAAGAGGCCCCCAGGAGGCCCCCAAGAGGATCCCAAACGGCCCAAAGAGGCCCCCCCGAGGCACCCAAGACGCCGAAAAGCCCCTCAGGACGACCCTCTCCTCGCCTGGGCGTCGTTTCTGGACGGGCTGGTGGGGATACGCGAAGCGTCTAGAATTTTCGCATATTACTCTATCACTCGTAGAATGATACGGGTAATATGTGATAAATAAGTAGTGATGGGGCGACCGGTACGAGTAACGCGTGGAAAATAAATAGGGTGGGATGCGCGAGGCGCCTCCGGGGGGGGGGCCCGGGGCCGTTGGGGAGGCGCTGGAAATGACAACATGCAGCCGCTTTGGCCGTTTCTTGCTTGGCGCCTGGACGTCGTCGTCGTTGTCAGTCGGCCGCCGCTGTGGTTCGTCGTAAAAGTCGAAAAGCAATGTGTAAAGTTCGATTTTCCCCTGTCTCACTCAGTCCGGGGTAAGTCCACGGTTGACGGTTTGATTTTCGCAGTGATTGAAATGACTCCTCCCCAGTCCTCCCCTCGAGCATTTTCCCGTGTACCTCTTCCTTGATTTTGGCGTCCCAATCAGTTCGAGGGTAGCCACGTGCCGGGCAACATGCCCACAGACCTCGGAACAAATTAGAGAACACTCATGATGCCACATTCATCTGTCAACGGTTCCCCCTCGCCCCACTGTTCAAAGTTGGCGGTGGGTCTGATGAGGTGCACTTGGACCGCAGTGTCCTCCGCGCGTGCCAACATTGAGGTTGGGGGGGAGGGGGGGAGTGTTCAGTAATTGTTTCCCTCCACCTTCGGGCCAGCCGGAGTCACTGTCGAATCGGATCGATCGGATCGAGATTGAAACTGCACTGGAAGAAAACCAAAACGGCATAAACTTAAACTTTTGGCGCTCCGCGCGGATTTCTTGGATCTGCGCTGGACCCCCCTCCCTGGCGCGCGGAGCGCGCCAATCGCGGCGCCCGAGGCGCCGCCGGGGGGGCCACGCGCAGATCCAAGAAGTCCGCGCGGTGCGCCCAAAGTTTGTGTTCCTGGCGTTGCTTTCTCCGTCGAACTATCGAATCGGATCGATCGGATCGAGATGGACCCTGCACCCCCCCCCTCCTCCTCCTCCTCCTCCTCCTCCTCCTCCTCCTCCTCCTCTCCTCCTCCTCCTCCTCCTCTCCTCCTCCTCCTCCTCTCCTCCTCCTCCTCCTCCTCCTCCTCCTCCTCCTCCTCCTCCTCCTCCTCCCCCATCCCCCTCCTCCTTTTCCTCCTCCTCCCCATGCCATCGCAGCGATCGTGTGCCGCTGACCCGAGGGCCTCGGCATACGTCGCCTGGCGACGCAAGATCGGCGCCGCGGCCCTTCGACGGGCCTTCGCGGCGGCCCTTCCGCTCTGCGGCGCCGGGCTGCCGGCGTGGCCCTCTGGGAGGCCCTCTGAGCCAAAAGTGGCTCACGTCGGCGAACGCTGTGCGCTTGTCGGGGGAGGAGGAGGAGGAGGAGGAGGAGGAGGAGGAGGAGGAGGAGGAGGAGGAGGAGGAGGAGGAGGAGGAGGAGGGGGGGAGGGGGAGGAGGGGGAGGAGGAGGAGGAGGAGGAGGAGGAGGAGGAGGAGGAGGAGGAGGAGGAGGAGGAGGAGGAGGGGGGATGGACAGAACCCCCTTCAGAAAAGCGTGGTTTAGTGAAGACGACCGAGGGCCCAAACCTGGCGGGCGCAAGCCTGGAGAATGACGGCCGCGGCGCCCTCTCGAGAAGCGAAAACGAACAATTCGCTGATCGATGTGTCAGGGTGGAGGTTTTGTCCAGCCCTGACAAGGGGGGGGTGACCCTGAGGGGGAGCATGAGTTCGATCCGTTGGTGCACCGAACTGCTGCAAACAGGTGCCCCCCGCATGCCCCGCCTGTCGGCAACTATCGGGAGCTACCTGCGGCGGGGGGGGGCATCTGCTTTGGACGGTTCGGTGCAAAAGCCGATCGAACTCTCACACACACACACACACACACCGGGCCCCCCCCCTTTGCTGGATCCCGAACTTGGGAGGTCCCAGAGACCTCCGGGCGACAAACCGTGTGGTGACCTTCAAAGTCCGAGAAACCTCACCACTGCGGACCTCATATGAGCGACGATCAAAGGCGGGTCTTGCGCGAGATGACGCAGAGACCTTCCGCGGTGGCTTAAGCGGGCCGCCGGCGTGGCACGCTACACTTCAAACGAGAACGCGTACGCGCGAACGTACGCGGGCTGCCTACGCGCAAATGTCGGCGCAAACGACCCTGTTTTCTTGTGTCGCCCATGTTGGCAAAATCAAGACCTCGGATGCCTGGGACCACACAGTCCGTCGCCTGCTGCTGCTGCTCCTCCTCTATCCTCCTCCTCCTTCCTCCTTCCTCCTTCTCCTCCTCCCTCCTTTTCCTTCGCTCAATATACCGTCACCTGGCTGACTCTTGCACCATAAGTTACGCTGGAGTCGCTAGCGCGCGGGATCTGAACAGACATATCCTCACATATAGCCGCATGGAGACCAATCTGGCTGGCAGTTCAAGTTATTTCCGCGTCCTGCTGTCCGACGCATGGCCCCTCCATGCAAGTACCATCCGCTCTCTGCTATCATCCAGACAACTGGCTTCGCAGGTGGGGAACACCAATCGCGTCCCTCTGAAAGGAAGAGGACGAGGAGGAGTACGGTTACGACGAGGAGGCGAATGTTGACATCATCCACACAGCATGCCTGCGCCTCCCCTTGAAGCACGCACCCCGCCCCACAGTTTCCATGATTCAGCTGGGTCAAGATAGAGATTTCACGCAAGATGCGCTTGCAGTCTATGAGGTCAGAAAATACGTCCTTGCGACGCCCTCGCAAGGCACCGCGCAAGCGCAGCGCAGAAGTGCTCGAGGCGCGCAGGGTGTGGCAAAGAGAAAACTCAGGCTCGCCGCAGAGGCGCATCGTCAAAGCAAATCGTGCCGAATACTGCTGACACGCAAAGCTGCAAGGCAAGCTACGGTGGGGGCATAGGATAAGGCAGCATTGGATAAGGACCTGGAAGCCAGTGGAACTCCAATCGCGGATTGGCGGTGGATACTACCGCCGCCCTCATTGGATAAGGAATCCTCCAGCGTCTGCAGTCCCCTGAGCGCATTCCTTAACCCACGCCCCCACCGTACCATCACAGAAACAAGCACGATTCTCTGAATGGCCGGAGAGCAAAACAGTCATGTGACAGAGGTGTTCCACCTAGTGTGCTCCGCATGACGCGATGAGATAGCAGAGCCTGCCCTGAAGCCAAACTTCGCAAGACAACGCCGACCGAATAGCACTCGCCTCCCCCAGAAGAGCGTCGGCTGGAAACAGGTGCTGCCCGATGGAGGACCAGGGTGAGGAATGGCAAAGCAAAGATGACACTTACAAGTTCGGCTGAGCCGTTGCTGTCCTCAAGATGGCAACGACCAGACTTTGTCACACAAGTGTGCATCACAGGACAACACGTCACCGTGCCATGGAAATGGTTGGTATGTTGTCAGGCTCCCTGGACGCCTCAAAATGAATTGTTGCGCGTACTCTCCACAAGCCCTAGACACCCGATGTCTGGACCGTCTCGCGCGCTCCCGCGCGCTCCTGGGGTGTTCTTCGCGACGTTTCCTAGAGCCTCTGGATCCGAAGATCGCCCCCGGACGACCGCGAAGCCCCAAAAGAGGGGCCCAAGAGGCCCAAGAGGGGGGGGACTCGAAGGGGGGGCCCAGGAGGAGGAGAAAAGGGCGAGGAGGAAGAGGAGAAGGACGAGGAGGAGGAGAGGAGGAGGAGGAGGAGCAGGAACAGGACTCGGGGGACCACGTGGCTCAGGAGGGGGGCCCAGGAGCTCTCCCCCCCGAGATGGCCCCCGCGGCCGCCGGCAGGGCCCCCCAGAGAAGGCCACCCAGAAGGCCTCTGGAAGCGACTACGAGCCCTCCGCACAGGAGGCCGCCGGCAGGCCCTCAAATGTTTGCTCCTCCTCCTCCTCCTCCTCCTCCTCCTCCTCCTCCTCCTCCTCCTGCTCCTGCTCCTCCTCATCCACATCCTGCTTCTGCTCCTGCTCCTGCCCCTGTTTTTAATCTCCGTCCCCCTGGTCCCTCCTCCTCCTCCTCCTCCTCCTCCTCCTCCTCCTCCTCCTCCTCCTCCTCCTCCTCCTCCTCCTCCTAAGAGCCCCCGAAGAAGCCACCCGAGAGCCCAACCCCTGGCCCACAGCTCGGCGGCGCGCAGAAGGGGGGAAGGGGGAGAGGGGACGGTCTCTTAGAAGGAGGCTGCTTCTTAGAAGGCAGAAGTGCCCCGATTCTGTTCCGTTCCGGCCCCGTCGTTCCCGTCGTTCACACCGTCATTACCAGCCTAGAATTACAGGAGGCACTAAGTACTTCGTGGACTTGTTGCACTGCCAGGGCATCCCTAATACAGGCCCTTGGAACGTCTCGGTGACCAGCGTGGGCCTTCTTATCCGTCTCCGACGCCACCTTGGAGCATTTTTGCGCAGCTTCGGCCGTCTGGTTTGCGTCTTGGGGAGCTCTACGACAGGCCGAGCAATGACTTCTTGGGTATCGTCACGCGCATCTAGATGCCTCTAACATTCCCCCAAGCCTTTCGTACTTGCAGGGGGAGACACGATCATGTAACGAGGCACCATGTTGACTCCACCTCGGCCGCGCACGCGACTCCCACAGGCAGGGGACGACGGCGGCGATTCGCCGTAGACATCTTCGGTCATACTTGCAACAGCTGGCAGCTCTGGAGCAATCAACTGCGCATGTGGACAGCTATTTCAAGGCTCCAGTTGGGAGCGAACCCAGCAGGAAGCCTGCACAGGCAGGAGCACACCTGACACTGTCATCAGTTCAAGGACGCGCTCCACGATGACACTTCGTGGCACTTGAAGATAAAGGCCCATCGTCTGGAGACCGTCACTGCCGGGGCAGGCTAGTCGAATCGCCCACCCTATGCCCGGATGGCAGTGTACTGCCTTCGTGGCCGCAGACCCAGTCCTTGCACTTCTTGATGGCGACGACGTGCTTGTTCTCAGTGTCCTCTCGGCTGCCGCTCACGGGTCGCCGGGCTGGCACTACGCTCCCCACAGATCACGGGGGGGGGCGAAGTCGATGGGAAAACGCTGCGCATGCCGCGGCATTTGTGAACAAGAAGCAAGCGACACGATAAAGAAAGCGTTCAACGCTTGCTGGGGTACTGGGCCTCCTCCTCGGCCACTTCCTTCGCCACCTTCAAAGGTAACCCTGCAATCATCCTCCTCACCCTCGTCAACCTCAGGTGCCCCCACCCTCACCCTCATCGACCTCCTCCTTGCGTTCGCCATCCTCCTCGTCCATACCTCCTCCCTCTTGGTGGGATCGGCCTGTGGGGTGCTCAGTCGAGGCGGCGATCAAAGAGCGGTCGGAAACTGGAAGTGATACCTCGGAAGACGCACCGAAGGCGCGAAAAGTGCCTGTGCACGTGAGACGGGAATGGCACGATCGATAACTACTTGGCTCGCTCGATCGATCGCCGAAGATCGGCTTGTCGACCTAACGCGGACGATCAATCGGTCGATCGACCAATTGCGGACGGTCGACCGACTCGCGCGGAGGGACGACCGATCGATCGCGGGCAGCCGTGGATCGGCGAGGCCAGTGTCCTACGGAATTCCCCCCCTCTGCCCTCCCCTCCTTGGTGCGACCGGCTCCAGAAACCCCGAAACCCAAAGACCCCATCCAGCCCTCTGGGCGTAGGTGATCTAGGGAGTTTCCTCGTCCAGCCCCCTTTTTCCCCCCTTCGGGGAGGGATTTACCCAACCTCCCTGCCCCCTCCCCTGGACCTGGACGGGGCGCCCCGCGAGGCGTCAGAGGGCATTGTTCGCCCAAGATGGCTCCAAGAGGGCCTCAGAGAGCCCAAGATTACCTCCCTAATGACTCAAGATAGCCCAAGATGCCTCAGGTCGGCTCCCAAGATGCTCCAAGAGGCCCCCAAAAAACTCCAAGACGGCTCCAAGACGACTCCGAGACCTCCAAGGAGGCATCCAAGAAGCCAAAATCCTGGCAAAACCAGAGGAACATCAATGATGTGTACATTCTCGCCTTTTCGCTTCCGATGGCCATCCGAGGCATCAAGATGGCTCCAAGATGACTCAAGAACGCCCCAGGAGAGACCCAAGAGAGCCCCTAGACAGCCCCAAGAGCGCCCCAAGAGCCCCCGGGGCGGGAGGCTAGTTGGAGCCCCCCTCTTTTTTGATCGATGTCCTCCAAGATGGCCCCAACAGCGCCCTTGAAGCTCCCACAAGCGCCCCAAGAGAACCCCAAGAGGCGCCCCGACGGCCCCAAGAGGCGTTCAGGAAGCCTCCAAGAAGCCCTCAAGAGACCCCCAAGAGGCCTCAAGAGGATGCCCGAAACACCCAAGACTCTCAAAGACGGCCCTGGGCTCGCCGAGATGCCCCTTCTCTTCCTCCTCCTCCTCCTCTTCCTCCTCCTCCTCCCCCTCCTCCTCCTCATCATCATCCTCCTCCTTGTCCACTGTCTCTTCCTACTTCCTCCTCTTCGCCCTCCTCCTTCTCATCCTCCTCGTCCTCCTCCACCATCATCCCTTTCTTGGGGTATCGGACGGCTTCCCCTGCTTTTGTTTTTCTGCATGCTCCCCCACTTCCCTGATCACCTCAACTCTCCTGGGCATCGTTTCTGGATGGGCTGGTGGGCTGGTGGGGATTTTTCCGTCGCGGCCGCAAGCGGAAGCGCAGGCGGCATCCGAAGTCAGCCCGGGCCACGAGCCGAACCTAATTACCTAAGCGCGCGAACGAACGGCCGCCGGAGTTGCCGCCGAGGGACGCCGAGCGACGCCGGGGACTGAAGGCAGAGCTGCAAGAGGTGCCAGTTGTGCCAGGCGGCTGAAATGCAACCATCCCAGGGCCGAGACCACCGGGAAGGCAAACGGATTGCACCTTGTCGCGTCAGGCGCCACAAGTAAACGGGCCACCCGAGCAGAGCACGGCATAGCGCGGGGCTGAGCAAGCAGCCCAGCGCTCCTGTGTCGCATGCCAACAGTGGCAACCACAAGTGATTGAAAAAAAACGCTAAACCACTCATGAGCAGTCCACGTGGACGTGCATCCCACCACTGCAAGGCGGCAGCTGCAAACACGGCCAGGCTGTGGCAGTGTCTGGAGACCAGAGGCCAGGAACATGCAAGCATGCTAGCTGGAGCTGGTCGACGTGCAAGTTACCTGGACGCCAGGGTCACCTCACCGAGCTCAAAGGAGTCAGCACACTGGTGGGGATACGCTGTTGGTCAACAGGCTCGCGAAGCGGGTCGAAAACCGTCCAGACACTAGTCGGGCCGCGACTAGGCAGCAGGAAAAGAAAGGCAAGCGAAGCGAGCGAGCGGGCAGCCACTCAGAAGGAGAGCCAAAACCGATACTCCCAAACCCGGTAGCGTTGGAAATCCCGGTGGCGACCAGCAAGTAAGCGCAGCCAACATAGCGCGGCGGCGCGACCATAAACACGCAGAGGTCGATCGCTCGGTGTGAATCAGGCAAACAGCACCGTCAGAGACGAAGTAGACCGACAGGCACACCCAGACGACATCCGTGAAGTAGGCGACACAAATGACTTGTGGGGATACTTTTTTGGGTCGGCGGCCGCGCGACGACGGTCTGGCGGCGAGAGGCAATGTCCGGGGCGACGTGTGGGGATACGCAAAGCGTCAACAATGTTGTCATTTCTTGGGAGCGCATCTTTTACTTTCGCTGCCTTCCGCCAGTCTTCCGCCGCCTTCCGCCGAGGAAGAGATGGCAACTCCTTCGATCCTCGAAGGCAAGGCCCTGTCTGGATCGCCCCATGTGTTCCCGCCTGCGGGGCTTCGACGCAAGGGGCAGCTCCCACCAGCAGGGGAGCAGCGATTCGAGTGGTGAGCGCTCCATGCAAGGCGGGGATTCATCCATGTCCACCGCCTGTATCGACGCCCTGGGACCCCCGCGGGCGGTGGATCTGAAAACCTGCCACTGTGCCTCTGGACACGGAGCAGGCGTGCACTCAGGTCCTTTGCTTCATCCCTGCAGCCTCAGTCCTCAGTCCTGAGGGGTCCTTAAGCTCGCCATCGCTCGGACGTCCATTCCGTGTGTGTTTTGTTCGGTTTCGTGCGTGGTTTTTTCGGCAAGTGGTCAAGGATGCTCCTCGATGGTCCTCGCCGAGGAAAACACGCACACGCCCGAGCGATGCCAAGTAAGGGGGCCCGGACCCCAGATGGCCAAACATCTCCCGGGGCTTCCCGCGTGCCCCCATGGGCTATGGGGCAGCGGTCCCGCAGGCTTTTTCCAGGGCCACGAGGGCCCCAAGACGGGCCAGAGTGGCCCCACGAGGCCCCCCAAGACGGCCCCAGAGGGCCTCGAGACGTCCAAAGATCGGCCCGAGACGCCCAAGATGGCCTCAAGATGGCCCACGAGGCCTCCGAGAGGCCTCCCGCTCCCAAAGGCAAAAACCATTGATTTTCCGTCGGTCTTTCATATGAAAGATTTGGGCGTTCTCGCTTTTACGGTTCTACGACGCTCCATGACGGCCCCAGGAGGCCCCAAAGACCACCTCAAAACGGCCAAAGAGGCCTCAAAGAGGGCCCCCAAACAGCCTCAAGACGGCCCAAGAGGCGCCCAAGACGGCCTAAGAGGGCCCCGAGACGGCCCCAAATGGAGCCGCCCAAGAGAGGGAACACGAACCGAAAATCCAAGCCTTCCGCCCCAAGAGGCCCCCATGAGGCCCCAGGAGACGCCCAGGAGGCTCCAAGAGGCCCCCAAGAGGCCCCCAAGAGGCGTCAAGAGGCCCCCAAGAGGCGCAAGAGATGCCCCAAGAGGCCCCAAAACGCCCCAAAGAGGCCTCCAAACTGCCTCCAAGAAGCCACCGAGAGGCCTCTCACGAAAACCCAACCAACATCCAATCGGCTTCATACCAACAACCCAGGCACGGTGGCGGGATGAGCCGAAGGCCATTAGATATTTCGGCCCCAGGGGGCCCGAATGTGTCCATATCCACCTCCTGCCGAGGTCTCCTAAGGTCAATCCCCCAGGCGGTGGTGATGGATAAATATTGGCCTCGGACCCCACATCATGCACCCCGCGTGGCTTGGCTCATGTTTCCCTTGATTGGCCTCCTTTTGCCGAGAATTGACAGATGCTGCCAGCATGAACGCGCGTGCGCGCCATCCACTTCCGCATCGTGTGCCCGTATGCGGATGAATGTGCGCTCGCTTGATGGCTTCGCACACTCTCGTCGGCCCTCTCGGAGCACGGTCGCCAAAGGAAGGCCACCGGGGACGCCGGCGGTACCCACGCCCGGCCACACGTCCGCTCAGAATCTGCCCTCACGGGCCTGTCTTCCACCGCCGCCACCATAAGCTGGAGGGGGGAAGGATGTGGAGGATCGACCGTATCTTTGTGCGGTTCGTCCACAGCTGCCTACTTAAACGTAGCGTGCCGCGCAGCAGCTAGGACACCATTGAGCCGCTCGGAACGGAGCGGCTGACCGAAGGCACAGGTTGCCTTGGCTTTGATGAGGTTGTGGAGGATGAGGAGGAGGAAGGACAGGAGGAGCGAGCGGGCCCAAGAGCGACCGACGACGGCGGGACGACAGCTCCAGTGTCAGACGCTGGCGGCACCTGCACATCGACGGCAGCAGCACTCACCAGGGCGGCGACAGGAGCAGCGGCAGGCCGCAGGAGGAAGGGGAGGAGGAGCAGGACCACCTCCCCCTCCTACAGGTGGTGGTGGCGACGGACGACAAGCCCACCGTCCCGGGGTCCATGTGAGGACCCGCTTTGAGGAGCGGGCTTTCGGCCGTGGCGACGAGCAGCCCCCGGGAGGCCCAAAGATGAAGGGGCCCAGGGACCCGCAAATTCGCCGGCCCAACGGGCCAGGGCGTGCTAAGATCTCCGGTAACTGGTTAACAGTATTAACAGTATTTCTAGTTCGCGCGCGCGGGGCGGCCCCTGGGGTCCCCCGGCGAAAAGTACCCCGACCAACGCCCGGTCGCCGCCCGACCGCCGCCCGACCAAGTCTACTC